CTGCATCCACCCCACCCCCAAGCCTTCCCCAGACCAGTGTCTGTGTCCATGGGTTGTGCTTATAAACATATAAGTTCTTTGATTAATATATGAAAACAAATATATTTTAAATTTATTTTCTTTTTATTAATACTTTTAGTTAGAGCAGTTTTAAGTTCACAGCAAATATGAGGTGAAGCTACAGAGAAAAGCAAAATTTTTTTCAAAGAACATGCAAGTAAAAATAGAACAGAATAAAAAACAAAATGTAATCATTTCCACTAACCTGAAATAGATGCCATTCTAAAACTGAATTGGAGATCCAAATATCTTTCTAAAAATGAAAGAAAAATCATAGCAACATTTCTTAGAACAGTACTATAGATTATGCTCAGTGATTATCTGTTACCACTAAGTACAAAAAATGTTAGAAAGTAACATTTAAATAAGGACCTTTGAAATAAAGACTACATGGCTCTTACCACACTAATTTTTATGAAAAATTCTCTATTTTTCAGAGAAGTATCCAAAGTCGCATAAATATATAATAAGTACAATGTAAATAATACAACAAGTATCACCAGATACAAAGTGATTTAACAAAAAGAGCAAATATTTGAGGTTAAATAGTTGTTGTACTAAATCACTGCATAATTTTAGCAAAATTACACACCCTGTTCCTCTCAGCTTCTTTCCCTACTTGTAAAACTGGGATAGAAGCCATCTTATAAATAACAAGTTGGATAGATTCAAATGTCCCAGATCAAGCAAAATTCATCAACATAAATACCAAAATTAATCATTTAACATTTTACATAACACTTGCTTTATAGAGTTACAATTTAGGCTCAATCTTAAAAAAGGATTTGTTATTCCATGGTGGGGGGCGGAGTGTAAATTTCAGGAGAGAGCCTGAAAAGCTGAGAACAGGGAAAAAACATGGTTTGTGTTAAGGACCTCTCCCTACCTATGAATGACTAAAACATATGAATACATATGAGCAAGAGGAAGGAGATGAGACTTGAGGGCAGGAACTTTAAGTTGCCCACAATCCCCACGAACACCTCCCATAACTCTGATATGGACAATCAACATTTTCTAAAAGTAACTTAGAATATTTCCCAAAGGTAGCTTCAGCATGGTCCTACCCTTAACCAGAAGCTGACCTTATGCTAGTCCTCACATAGAATTCTGGCAGGTCGTCTTTGCCTTGCTAAGGAGTTCGGAATAGCCATGGCATTATAACATATTGAAGTAGTGGGGTAAACCAAAGATTTTCAATTCTTTATCTATATAGACATCTCTTCACCACTGTGTGGAAACAATTCTTCTCTAGACTGCAAGGTTTTCCAGCAGGGCAGGGGCTGAGTCTCTTCTCTGTATTCACATAGCCTAGCAAACCGCTTTGAATATAGTGCAGGCTCAGGTTTGCTCAGACTGAAAGCAGAAGCTACCTCTCCCCTTATGAAAGAATATATCCTATAACCCCCCCCCCACACACACACACACTATTTTAAATGACTTCTTAGATTACACTGTCCAAAAATGCTCATAAATTCCTTCCCCAAATGATGTGTTTTAATATTAAAGATATCTCAATATGTTCAGAAATTAATAAGCTATAGCTGATGTGTCGGTCAGAAGTACAGCTAGGCACTGTTAAAATAAAAAACGAAGTCCAGTCTTGAAAATCACCTGAGCAGACAAAACCAGTTCAGTCACACAAACAAAGCTTAACTTAGCTTACTTTGTAAAACTAACTTAACCTGGGTCGTCTCTCATTGACGCACACTGGAACAATCGTGAAGTGAAATGGGGTAACCACTAACCAAATGCCCTACCATTTCATAAGATGTTAACATCATAACCAATCAGTGTGAAGATGAGCAGCCACTACCTTCTGCCTATAGAAGCTGCTTTAACAATTCACCCTTGAGCCTCGTTACATGTTTTGGTTTCATTGCTCCCAGCGAGCGAACCGTCTTTTTGGTGAACAGGCAACTTTCACTACTTCCGTGACTCACTGGGTTGACTTCTGGTGTTCCTGAATTTTTGGCAGCACGCGCAAGAAACCGTTTACAGTGTCACACCCAGTCACTGATGCTGGAGGACACGCCACTGAGGTACCACCGGTTCAGGAGACACAGCTCCCCCCTCGCCCCGCCACCTGCGCTGAGAGGCAACAGATATTTAATAACACCCTCCCTTAGCTCAGGCGTCCCCAGTGCTGTTTCCCAATAAACGATGGGAGCCAATAAACAGGCTGTGGTAACCAAGCTGCCCGCATGGAAAAGGCCGGATAAAATGAAGGCGTCTAAAGGTCCGAGTTCCCCCGAGCTGGACGCCGATTAATGCCCTCGTTTCTCCCCTGCCAAAGTGGAAGGAAGGCACCCCCAGAGACTGGCCTCGCCTTCAGGCAGGAAAAGGGAAAACTAGCCCTTTCCAAGCGTAACCGGAGTGACCGCAGAAACTCTCTCCAAGGGGCCAATGAACCCCCCAACCCGGCCTCCCCGGTCTCTCACCCCAAAGTGCCGCGAATCGAATACCGCTACCCACCGCTTTCAGCCGCTGCGGTCCAATAAAAAGTTCCCGCCACCAGGCTTTCCGTTCTCTCCAGCCCCGAGCATCCACCCTTCCGGGTCGGTGGGCTCAGCCAATTGCAAGTAAGACCCTCCTCTAATTGGTCAGGGGGTGTGGCCACCGTCGAGTCACCGAACAAGATTCCGGATAATTGGTTGATATTGGGAGCGGGTTTAGCCAATAGAACGCCGTCTTGGAGCTGGGATGCGGTGGCTGCGTGTTTCCGGAAGACGTGGCGGCTCTCTCCTGGGTTGTTTCCCGGCTTCATTCCTCTGGTCTTGGCTTCACACCCTGGGTTCCTCGAGGCGCCGTCGTCGTTGTCCTCACCCCTGCAGCCATGATCTCCTTAACGGACACCCAGAGTAAGCACCTGCCCCGGGGTCCCTGCCTTGAGCCCAGCACACCCCGTGCTGGGGCTGGGGCTGGGGCTTGGTCTCGCCCTCGCCCACCCTCCC